TGAACTCGAAGTTGATTTTCGTTGCAGCAAGAGTAGATTAGCAAGCTCATGCCTTCTAATTCCATGGTATTCATATGCTTGGGGAGATTTCCCTACATTCAAAGACCAGTGTAGATGTTTCCTTGCTTCTTGTTTGATGCCAAAAAAATGGACATTCTAGGTCCAAGAATAACACTGCCTCCTACCTGAGAAATATTGTCCAGGAGAGGTAGATTTCCAGGCATTGCTAAAAGGCCCTCCAGGCATTGTTAAACTCTAACCTGGCCCTAAATAGGCTTTCCACTGCAGATTAAGGTTGCAAGAGATCCTGATCTTGAGAATGTGTTATCCCCTGAGTGTTTGAATAATTCATGCCTGTCTGAATGCTGTTCTTTCCTAATGCAGGAGTTTGTGCTCTGAATAACTGCATATATGCCATGGGAGGCTACGATGGAACAAACCAATTGAACAGTGTGGAGCGCTATGATGTGGAGCTGGGCACCTGGTCCTTTGTGGCACCCATGAAGCACCGTCGGAGTGCCCTCGGGGTCACTGTATATCAAGGCAAGATCTACGTGTTAGGTACGTTGGCCAAGGATTACAGCAAGTTCTTTTTGGCTGGATGTGGGAAGTACAGGCAGCAGTCACACAAGCTATGGGCATTGGTCCCAGGGATGGCTTAGTTCACTTGGTTAATGGGGTGGAAACAAAAGCCATATTTTGTTTGCTACAGTTAATAATCTATTCTTGCACATATTTACTTGGATAGCTTAGTGAGCTCTTGAGTACATTACATTGAGACACACTGGGTTGAAATCAATGATACAGATGTGTGTAGAAGTGCTCTTACTTATTAATGCGCACACTCTATCTCCAAATAGCAATTTTGGTAAGATTCCCCCATGTAAGTGTTGAAGCGTTTCCATCTGCTGAAACACTGGGCTCTTGGAAATCTTGATAAAAAACCCAGGACAAACATAACATTCCATAATAATTACAATTCGGGGTCATTTATATTCTTATTTGTATGATGCCATCAAAATTTTGCCCCATTCAGCATGAGAAATACATGTTGCCACCTTACAGAAGACACACTGGATATAGCAAAGCAACAGGATTTATACCAGCAAGAAGCAGAATTTTTTCCAGCTAGACATCTTATATGTTAATTATGGCTAAGACTCTTCCCATCCTCTTTTTCTTGTTGCTGAGATTTCACATGGCTTTTGCCAAATAGAGCTACTTTCTACCCAGAGAATTAGAGTTGTACTGTGAATACAAAGCTGTCCTGCGCAGTTGGAAGACAAGGCTTTGGGGGGCTGCCTCTGATTCATCTCAGTTCAGTCAAGGGCCTTCAAGGTAGCCCCTGGCCTCTCTTGGTTCTAATTGCTAATTGTTTTCCTGCAGGTGGCTATGATGGACAAACATTTCTGGACAGCGTTGAATGTTACGATTCCACTACAGATACTTGGACTGAAGTAACTTGTATGACATCAGGCCGCAGTGGGGTAGGCGTTGCCATTACCATGGAGCCATGCTGCAAACAAACTGAGCAGCAAAAATGCCATTGTTAATGGTAACGTGGAATGTGCTCCACTTCCCTTCAAATGGAAGGGAGAAAAACAAATGGGAGAAGATTCAGTATTATAAAATACCTGCTGCCAAGTTGTTTTCTGCCAGAATAAAGGAAACGTGCCAAAAAGATGAGAAATGCTTTAAATCCCATTTGAACTGACCTTGAGGCAACATTGAAGAACAGCTTTTGCTCTGTGCTTTACAAGGGTAGCAGCTACAGTAAGTCTGTTGCCTCTCCATGCTGCTCCTGCCTCAGTTTGGGATGGATGCGTCAGTGAAGAAGGAAGCCCCTCTGGAACAACGACAGGAAAGCTCAATTCACAGTGGCTGTCTCTTTTCTGGCCCCTGGCAGTGAATGGACCTTCAGGAAATGACCTCCAAATCGGGATGGGTGGAAGTATTTTGTACATAATGCAGCCCTGAGCCCTCCTTAGAAATGTGTATTATTCATACAGTTTGGCGGCCAGTTCAAGGTTAATTTTTTTGCTTGTCAAGTTTGTACAGGTGCAGGTGAGGAAACGGGAAAAGTTGTGAGGCACTCTTCTGTGGTTGCTGATCTGCAGGTAGAGTGCATTCAGAAAGTATTCAGAGTCAGACCTTCTTCGCTTTTGTCATGCTGCAGCCCAATTCTACAATGGTTGAAATTCATTTTTTTTCCTGATTAATCTACACTCAGTACTCCATAATGACCAAGTGAAAAGAAAAAATTTAGATGTTTGTAAATTTATTAAGAATAAACTGAAATATCCCATTGGCCTAAGTATTCAGACACTTCAGTACTTTATTGAAGCACCTTTGGCAGCAATTACAGCCTCGTCTTTTTGGGTATGATACAAGCAGCTTTGCACACCTGGGTTGGGGGATTTTCTGCCATTCTTCCTTGCATTTTTCCTTCCTTCAAGTTCAGTCAGGTTGGATGGTGACCATTAGTGGACAGCCATTTTCAGGTCCCTCCAGAGATGTTCAGTAGGGTTCAGGGCTCTGGCTGGGCCACTCTAGGACATTCACAGAGTTATCCTTAAGCCACTCCTGTGTTGTCTTGGCTGTTGTTTAGGATGATTATCATGTTGGAAAGTGAACCTTTGGCCCAGTCTGAGGTCCTGAGCACTGAAGAACAGGTTTTCATTGTACTTTGCTCCATTTGGCTTTCCCTCAACTCTGATCAGTCCCTGCTGTTAAAAAACACCACCACAGCATGATACTGCCATTACCATGCTTCACTGTTGGGATGGGCAGATGATGAGCGTTGCTTGGTTTCCTCCAGACATAACATTTAGAATGGAGGCTAAGCAATTCAATTTTGATTTCATCAGACCAGAAAACCTTGTTCCACACAGTCTGACAGTCCTTCAGATGCTTTTGTGCAAACTCCAGGTCGGTTTTCCTGTGTTTTCACTGAGGCTAGCCGCTCTGCCATAAAGCCTATATCGGTGGGGGGTTTCTAGAACTTTGTCCCATCTACACATAGAATCTCTGGAGCTCAGTCAGAGTGACCATTGGATTCTTGATCACCTCTCTTAATAATGCTCCCCCAATTGCTCAGTTTGACCTGGGGACCAGCTCTTGGAAGAGTCCTGGTTGCGCCAAATTTCTTTGATTTGAAAATGGTGGAGACCACTGTGATCTTAGGAACCTTCAGTGCAGCAGAAATTTTATTATAGTCTTCCCCAGATCTGTGCCTTGCTATAATCCTATCTCTGAGCTCTGTAGGCAGTTCCTTTGTCCTTAGGGCTTTTGCTGTGCTACAGTATGCATCGTCAGCTGTGAAGCCTTCTAAGGAGAGGTGTGTGGCTTTCCAAGTCATGTTCAATTTGATTTACCAGAGGTGGACTCCAGTCAAGCTGTGGGAACACGTCAGCAACCATAAAGAGAAATGGGAGGCACCGGAACTCAATTTCAAGTGCTGTTGCTAAAGGTCTGAATATGATATAAATATGAGTATAAATGCAAATGTGATATTTCAGGTTTTTTTCTTTTTAATGAATTTCAGACATTTCTAAAACTCTGTTTTCACTGTCATTATGGAGTACTGAGTATAGATTAATGAAAAAAAATGAGTTTCAACTATATAATCGGGCTGCATCATAACAAAATTGACAAAAGTGAAAGGGGTCTGAATGCTTTCTGAATGCCCTGTAAGTGAACACTGATCACTACAACTTGAAAACCTCAGGTGGACCTTTGCCTATGCTGCTTTTCTATTATCCCACAAGGAAGGGCTTACACAGGTGGCTACCTACGTTTTTTCCCCTGACCTGTGGATGGTACATCCTCTTAGGAAACTGGTTTTGAAGTTCTACTCACATGAATAAAACACTTTTTGTGATTAGTATTAATATTTATTTTGCTTCAGTCTGTATTATTCCATTAATACTCTTCGGAATACTGCTGTGCCAAAAAGTATAACACAGAATGAGCCACTGAAATATATTTTACTCCTAGGAATATCTACTATATTATGTACTGTTTGCCAAAAGCTTCTTTATTCACCATGATGTATTCACCAGGTTCCAGAGGTAATCACTGATAAAGCAAGGAGAATGTTGGCTACTGTCAAGGTTGATAGATTGAGCAATATCTGGTCCATAATGGGCTGAGAACAAAGGAAAAGGTTAAGGAAAAAGTTACTCAAGTTTTTTCCCTGATCCAACCCCCCAAGTTCCATGGAATGAAACATATCAGGCTCCACAACCGAGAAAGGCACATTGAGATTCTTCTAAGCAGTTTCCTTTATGTTCCACACCTATAGAAGAAATCTTTCCGAACTAAACCAAACTATTTGCACCATAAAACAAACTGGGAGCTATTAGGGAGGAGCTGTATTCACTCTCTTTTACCCTCAAACTATAATAGTGGGGTGTTCTGCTTCTCTGGAATTCACTCCCTCTTCCCCTCCTGGGAATCCAGACATTACAAAAGGATACTTCCTTTGATCAGGGGTGGTTCACAAGAATAGTCCCAGTCAATCTGGCAGATCTGATAATAAAGATGTACAAGATACCTGGCAGACATAACAAAACATGAGTTCCTTGTTCTGGTGCAGATCCTATCAATATCTACAACTGCTGAAATCTGTTCATAGGCTGTGTTGGCTAACGATTCACAGACCTCATGTCAAATGAATCTGGAAAATGCAAAGCAAGGGAAAGCTGGCTGTGTGGTGATTTCCTGGAGTGCTGCTTCTTGTTCAAAGCAGGATGTCTCAAAGTAATCAATATCTATTCCCAAAGGGAGTAGCAGTGGTCTATTAAAGTAGTTTTTATTAAATTATCTTCAAAAAATAAATATTTGAAGACTGATGAATAATCTGAGGTTTCATGAAGGGATTGTTCAACTGAGGAGTTTGGGGACCCTGATTAAAAACCTGCTTTTTCCCATTGTCCCATTTAAAAAAAACCATGCAAGTGTTCCAAGTGTACTGTATGCATTAACTAATTACAAATGTCCACAAATGTATATTTTTACTTAAGTCCATAACTTCAAAGCAGATTGTCAATCTACATGTATCCCCTTGGCAAATCAAAAGGAAATTTGGGAGGGGAAAATAACATACATTAACGTAACTTTTTGATGGTTTGATCAGTTTTAATAATTTAGAATGGTTATATGGCTGTCCAACTCAGATTACTTGCATAAAAGGAAATGGATCACCAAGATAGAAGCCGAGTAGCCTAGTCTTGTAATTCAGCTTTTGCAAATGAGAGATTAGGTAAGATTTTTACTCACGTAGCTGACATAGATCTGTCAGCTTCTTCTGTTGCGTTCTGCTGCTGCTGCTTGCTTTCTTCTCTCAAAGTCTCCAGCTCTTTTCTTAATTCAGTATATTGTGTGAGTGAAGGAATCCAAGTAATTCTCCAAACTATCAGAGGTCTTAATAATACTCCAACAATAATAGTTTCCATATTGTGGACAATGGTGCTGTGTTACCTGAACCATGTTTCAAAATAAGTGCTTGGAAAACTTTTTATCCTTGGTATTTAGGCACCAAAGTACACTTCTACACCAATTAATCCAATGGTTGTCCTGTTTTCTTTTGCAACAGAATCAAAATCTGAGCAAGAGAGTTAAGTGAACTGCTCCCAGTGAAAATAAAATACAAACTGTCTCAATCTTTTTGAAAAGGCCATACATGGAATTGTTTATTGACTCACTTTGATTTTCAAAATCCAAATGAATTAAAGCAAAATCTAATTAGTTTATAGAACAACATGTCATTGTTTTCTTGCCCTGAATAAACTTTATAGAGGGCAGGTGTGATTGGAATCCTGCTCAGAACACCAATTTTAACAAGCCAAAGAAGATTCTTAGACAACATAGTACTCAATGGATAAAAAAAATATAACAAATAAAGAATGTGCCCTAAAGGATAGTTACCTGCAATAAACAGGAAAGACCTTAAAATGTTAGAAAAGAAGAGTCTACCATCCATTTTTTTTCGTTTTCTTTCACATTCTAAAACCACCCTTGCCTGTAATATTTCACAATATACCAACTTACTTTTGCTAAAATGTCCATGTGACAGAAGCCTGGATTCAGCAAATTGTCCAGCTCTGATTAATGGAGAGGCACTTATTTATATACATATACACCAGATTACCTTATACCAACAGTTAAAGGGCCAAAAGCAACTAGACCAGGGCTTCCAGCATCATGCGCTGGCCACGCTCAAGTTAGCAAAGGGGAAAAAAGGTGATATGCCCCGTGATGATGCCGGAACGGTGTGAGTTTGACACCCCTGAACTAGACCAACAACAGGTAATTCTTGCTTAATGATGATAAGTGAATTCCACACAGTTGTTAAGCATGACATCCTATGGTTGCCATTTGTGATTTCCTGCCTGACTCCCCAAAAGCAAAATTCTTACAGGCTAGTTATTGTAGTCTGCATAGGTCTGCACAGACTACTTGAACCGTCTTGTCCTGCTAAGACACGGTCGCTCTATTCATGCCAGCAGAGGTGGTCTGCTGAGGACCCTGTCAATCAAAGAGTACATCACTGGAGATGGTTGATGGACTAACTTGCTGACCCCACCTCCCTCCTGCACTCCTGCTTCCACTCCGCATATTACTGTATTACTACAGTTTATTTTTGTTCCATTCCTCTACTATTGTTATATTTACAATTTTATCTTTTTTTCTGTTTTATTGTTGTACGCCATCCAGAGTAACCCCACAGCAAAATGGGCACCAAATTTAATAAATAAAAAATAAATAAATGGCAATCACCTGACTGTAGGATGCTGAGACAGTTGTAAATATAGGCTAGTCACCAAGTACCAAATTGTAATCAGGTCATCTGCACTTACACTACGATCATCAGAATTTTGATTTTTCATTCACCTCCACTGTAACTTTGAGTGGTCATTGAGAGACTGCTTGTAAGAAAGAACTATCTGTACTTTTGGTTTCAACATCTTTAGAACTATGCAGACTCTACCATGGAGCATAATAGGACACAATTTCTGTCAAGCCAATAAGACATTTACAGGTGGCTCAGATGCTGGGCTTCCTGTTCATGACACCAGAAATACTTGGGGTGGGGTGGGATTATCTTTAATCCTAAAGTAGGACCATACAACAAAGATAAAAGTTTATAGCTAAGAAACTCACCATACTGTTTTACATATATTACATCGCCTTTTCCTGCATACAGTACTTTATTAGGATAAATAATGGTTGATTTAACTTGCTACTTTCTCACCAGAAGCTAACATGAAAGGATATTTAGTACTGATCCTCAATTTTTCATCCTTTTTATTTGTCTGAAGCAATTTTTGTTCAATTTTCTGGAGCTTTTGGATACTCGCCTTCAACTCCTCTTCCCTGTCAGAAAGTCTCTGTGCCACTTTCTCCTCAGTAATCATGAGCTCTATAGTGAAAGCAGAGTACAGCATATATCCAGTTAAAATATAAATGGTTGGCAAAACTGAATTTCAGCATTTTCTTTCTCATTATCTATTAAAATATTCAACAAATTTCTACAAATTCTTTCTTCAGACTGCTTATTTTAACTGCAGCCAATGATTCTTGAAATACTTTATCAGTTTTCTTCAATTTGATGTTCTCCAAACATAGTAAGATTTATCATAATTCTTGCTAGTATAGCAACAATTCATTAATTTGACAACCCTAGTTTGGGGAAAATAATCCATAAAATATACAACATGGATGTGCAGTATGCACCATGAACAAACCATTCTCTTTAAAGAATAGTTGGTTTCAAACGACCCATATCCAAGCTAAAATATGTCAGTTTGATTTATGTGACAAAATGGATCTTACTTGTTTATAATGTAAATTAAAATACAAATTTCTGACATGAGGAAATAGTAAAAAAAAAAAAAACAAAGTGGAAAATTTCTTTGATGGCAATGTTTGCAGTGATGATAATAGAAATGGGGAAAGAAATGAAAAAGGAAAAGGACATGAGAAATGAATGTACTCATTGGTTATTCAGTTGTGTAATCATTGCTGTATTAGGAAGCTCCCTGGTGCTTCCTATAGATACCAATGGCTGCTTTCTCTGCTTTTATCACATGGAGATCAGTAGCAGTTCAGAATGGGAAGGAAAGGCATGGGAAAACCAGTCAGATAATAGATCAGGAGTGGGCAATTAATTTCTGTCGGGGGGGCCACATGGAAAATCAGATCTGCGTTCGAGGGCCGAACCAATTTTATAAAAGGCCATTATAAAGGGCCCATTATAAAATGCAGCAAATTATATATAAGAATATTATATATATAATATAGTATGTATATATATATATATATATATATA